GAGGGACCGGGTCGACCAACGAGGGACCCAGGTCTACCAATGAGGGACCCAGGTCGACCGATGAGGGACCGGGTCGACCAATGAGGGACCCAGGTCTACCAATGAGGGACCCAGGTCGACCGATGAGGGACCGGATCGACCAATGAGGGACCCGGGTCTACCAACGAGGGGCCAGGTCGATCAATGAGCGGCCATGATCAACTCCTTTGGTACCGGTTAACCGGTACCCTGATACTGATTTTCTTCGGCGGATCCTGCGGATTGTCCTCCACCAAAGGTCGCTCCCCTTCGAGGCCCCTGTCTCTCTGGTCCCCTGTCACTGACCCACGGCCTATACTCCGCATCCAACTGGAATCTGGGACCTCCACATCACAGAATTAGCTCTTCACCACAGTTGTAAGAGCCCCTATAGCTCAGTGGTAGAGCACCCGCTTAGTAAGCGGAAGGTCGGTAGTTCAATCCTGCCTGGGGGCAACTACCTTACATTCGGTTCACGCGCGAGCATCGCATGTCTCGATCGTGAGCGCGGCGTGCTTCGCTCGCACCGTCTTTGTCTTTTTTAGGCTGGTTTTCGACCCGTGCCTGCATCGCCATTGTTGATTGTCCGTTAGGTACCACGGAGCGTGTCTTCATGTCATGTGCCGTGCCGTGTCGTATCGATGTGATTGCCCTACTATCCGCGTGTTCTTCTGTCTCTCTATCGATGTATAGTTTGCCTTTCTGTCTATTAGTCACTCGATCGATACTTCGCCGGCCAGTCACCATCACATCGAGTGCTTTTTTGCGGTGATGCTCCTCCTGGCTAACTAGCCAGCTGGCATCTGTGATTACGATATCAGCTGTTGTCATTCCCTTCTGGCAGATCATCAAGATCGGGCAGTTTGTGAGGATGGCTGGTGCGTGTGTCTTCAAAGTTATCTCGAGATTCAAAACAAGTTTGGATTCCGTCTTGGTAAGTAGTAGGAGAGCTGCATACAATCACGTCCAGACGTGTGATTGCGTTTCGTGTTTGTTTAGGTGCAAAGTGTAGGTGTAAAAACGTGTTTGAAAAGTGTGTGCTGTGTCCGGTTGTAAGAGCCCCTATAGCTCAGTGGTAGAGCACCCGCTTAGTAAGCGGAAGGTCGGTAGTTCAATCCTGCCTGGGGGCAACTACCTTACATTCGGTTCACGCGCGAGCATCGCATGTCTCGATCGTGAGCGCGGCGTGCTTCGCTCGCACCGTCTTTGTCTTTTTTAGGCTGGTTTTCGACCCGTGCCTGCATCGCCATTGTTGATTGTCCGTTAGGTACCACGGCGCGTGTCTTCATGTCATGTGCCGTGCCGTGTCGTATCGATGTGATTGCCCTACTATCCGCGTGTTCTTCTGTCTCTCTATCGATGTATAGTTTGCCTTTCTGTCTATTAGTCACTCGATCGATACTTCGCCGGCCAGTCACCATCACATCGAGTGCTTTTTTGCGGTGATGCTCCTCCTGGCTAACTAGCCAGCTGGCATCTGTGATTACGATATCAGCTGTTGTCATTCCCTTCTGGCAGATCATCAAGATCGGGCAGTTTGTGAGGATGGCTGGTGCGTGTGTCTTCAAAGTTATCTCGAGATTCAAAACAAGTTTGGATTCCGTCTTGGTAAGTAGTAGGAGAGCTGCATACAATCACGTCCAGACGTGTGATTGCGTTTCGTGTTTGTTTAGGTGCAAAGTGTAGGTGTAAAAACGTGTTTGAAAAGTGTGTGCTGTGTCCGGTTGTAAGAGCCCCTATAGCTCAGTGGTAGAGCACCCGCTTAGTAAGCGGAAGGTCGGTAGTTCAATCCTGCCTGGGGGCAACTACCTTACATTCGGTTCACGCGCGAGCATCGCATGTCTCGATCGTGAGCGCGGCGTGCTTCGCTCGCACCGTCTTTGTCTTTTTTAGGCTGGTTTTCGACCCGTGCCTGCATCGCCATTGTTGATTGTCCGTTAGGTACCACGGCGCGTGTCTTCATGTCATGTGCCGTGCCGTGTCGTATCGATGTGATTGCCCTCGGGTCCTTGGTATAATTGATGATTGCAGCATAGAAGGAATCATACGCGTACGATTCAGCGATCTGGGGTTCGGATCGACAACACGGGCGTCGAAATCATCGCATTGAGCCCCAGATCAATACAACACGCACATATGTCTTCGTCGTCATTACCATTCTGCGTTTGATGACCCATGTCGCGCCGAGGATCGTAATCAGGACGACGAGAAAGCGCGTTAACGAGAATGTTATTCTTGCCAGGCTTGCAATGCACCACAAAATTATACTCGGCGAAAAATGACAACCACCGTGCCATACGCTGGGACAAGCGAGAGCTCTTGACGGCGGTACGCAATGATGCATGAACTGTGTAGATAGATTACATCTTTTCGCCGAGCAAATTCTTTCTAAACTTGATTAGCGCGTAGCGCATAGCCAAAATTTCCTTGTCGTGTACCGGATATTTTTTCTCGGCAGGTTTCCTCTGTCGTGATTGAAAACTCACGACGCGCTCTCGACCCTCGTCATCAAAGTGCAATATGGGCACATCCTATAGCGAAATTGCATGCATCGCATACGATGTGTAAAGGCTTGGAGTCATCAGGTAGCTTCAGCACCGGTGCCTCGGACAAGCTCTTCCCCACGGGGTCGAAGGCAAATTGATGTTCTGCCTTCCATAACCATACTGCATCTTTCTTTAGCAAAGTCGATAATGGCTGAATTAGTTCAGCATAATTCTTCGTATACTTATGCAAGTAATTCGCCAGACCAAGCCATTGACGTAATTCAGTTTGGTTCCTAGGCGTTAGCCAAGAACAGATCGATAAATTTTTTTAGGATCAGCGCGGACACCTTCCTTGCTGACGTAGCATCCGAGTACTGGGATCTCGGGAGGCAGAAGAC